AACCCCACCTCTTGTGCCCCCAGGACAGGGTGAGGGCAGGTGAACATTGACACACCAGCTGGATGCTCCCCATCCCACACAGCATTGAGGGCTCTCAGCTTCAGCATAAGGAAAAAGGTGATTTTAAGGGAGGTGGGGAAAGGGGCAGCACTGGCTGTTTTATATTCTGCTACCGAAAGGACAGAGGAAATGAGTTTTCTTTAAGCAAGCTTTAAAAGCACAGGAAATATCCTGGTTATTTCAGGCCTGTCCTCGGCTTACCCCTGGGATGGGAGCTGGGTCAGGCTTCAGGGGCTTAACCCAGGTGGAGCAGGGTAAGGACGGGGTTGGGATGGAAATGGGAATGAGGGTGGAGATTGTGATGAAGATTAGGGTGAGGATGGGGCCAGGGATGGAGTTGGAGATGGAAATGAAAATGAGGAAGGATGGGGCCAGGGATTGGGCTGGGACTGGGCTCACCTGGGACAGGTGCTCAGCACTGGGGAATCACTGCCAAGGGATGCTGGTAGAGGGACAGAGCACATCCCCAGCCCATAAGTGGAACATTCACAGCAAAACACAAAGGTGGCATCACTCTTTTGTCTTCTTTTTCTAAAAGGTGGAGCAGGACCCTGCACAGTCCTCTTGACACCCCAAACAGAAGGGACCCCCCCCATTTCCAAGAGACTCCAGCCCAGCCTGCTGGAAATGTTGGATCCAATTCAGGTCAATTAAAGTTGAGTTTTTATTGAATTAAAGTGTGAAAGTAAATACAGCCAGCCCAGTATTTGGGCTGCTTTTTTTTTTTTTTTTTTTTTTTTTTTTTTTTTTTTTTTTTTTTTTTTTTTTTTTTTTTTTTTTTTTTTTTTTTTTCACCCCACTCGTAAAAGTGATTTAGAAGGCAGTATGGATTCCTGGGCTGGAGGAGACCTAGGAGATGGTTCTGGAGCTTGGAAAGGACATGGACACGTTCCTTACACCTGGGCAAGTGTCAGCAGTAGTTCGGACGTGAGGAATAAAAGTGGTTCTGGCAGCAGCAGCCAGGTAAAATCCAGGAAAATAGTTGGAAAGGATTCCTCATGGGAAGCACTGCCTTGGCTGGGGAGTCCAAGTTGTCTCCAAGGCTGCCTAAGCCTGGAAGGAGTTGGCTTTTGAGCTCCAGCTGGGATCAAACCCCTGAATTTGCTCTGGTCAACACAGTAACTCACATTGGCATAGTCCACTGGGTACAAAAACATTCATTAAAACAGGTCCCACGTGGGCAGTGTCCCACCAGCCCAGGGATCACCAAGGCCAGAGCAGAGGAGGAGCCCAATGGGGCCTGGACTTCCTCCCAATTTTTAATGCCTCTGCAAGATTCTTTCCAAAAAGCTCCCGACTGCGGCTGGCTGTCGAGCCGAGTATTTTTAGCAAGTATTCATGTGAAACTGCTCAGGATCATAATTTGCAATGTAAAGTTAGAGGCTTCCTCAAAAACTCAGAGTAAGCAGATTTGGGTCAGCAGGACTTTGTGCTGATTGTGCTGAAAGGAACCATCCCGCCAGGTCCAGGGGAGCTACAGGGGCTGGAGCTGAGCACTGAATTTTCCAGGTAATAAACCCCCACTGTGCCCACAGGACCAAAACTTGAAATCCTTCCATGGACTGTGACCCTGCAAAGTGACAGATAAATAATGTCACATGGAAATAGTGACATCCAGCATGACAGTCACCAGGAGTACCCGCTGCCTGTTTGGGCTCACATTTTCCCCAATCTCCCTTGGCCTCTTTTTGTCACCATTGATCCTTGAGCAGGAGGGAAAAGTTTTTAGGAAACAGCGTTAATAAATCCAGCTCCTCACCCAGGGGTGCCCAGAGAAAGTGAAGGGTTTAACACCCTGTGCCCAGGGGCTGCAAAGCTCTGTCTGGGTGGGAGTTTTACTGCTGTGAAGATGCCACAGCAACCAACCCAGGTTACCTGCACCCAAAGAATGAGGGAGAGGAGTGTCTCACATTTTTAATTATTTAAATAAAGAACAGAAGCATCTCTATAGACAGGACATGACTGGGCACCATGTGCTTCATTTTAGGCATGACAACATCTCATTTTCTCACACCTCTGTGGCCCAAAGGAAAACTCTCCATGATTTTCCTGCTTCCTCAGGGTGAAGGAAACTTCTGTCTGAAGCAAACAACCAGAGTAAATTGAGGATGAAATGTCCCAGCCCCAGAAGGGATTTTTGTCAAGGCTGGGTTAGCACCTACCAGCTGATGATTTCCATTTCTGTCCAGTTCCTTACAAGTGGGGCAGCAAATGCCACTTACTTTAGTATAAAATGGGCTTTATGTATTTAGACTTTGTCATAAAGGGTTATAATTAAAATTTCACTTTTAAATGGACTACTTTTAAACTGTGAATCCATAAAATATGTGATCAATTGCGATGTGAGACCTCGAGGGCTGCCTGCAAGCTTGGTGCAAAACTCACTTTTAATAGAGATTTGGTAACAGAATTAGAACTGCAGCAACTGAGAAAAAAACCCCAATACCACATGGGTACTGTTCTCAAAATGGCTTTTTCCAGTTACATTCTGCTTTTACCAGCTGTTATGGGCTAAAAAAAGTCCTACATAATCATAAATGTTAATAAATACAGTACAAGTACAGGGCTTTTTCTCCCTGTTTTGCTGCCATTCTTTGGGGTTCGTATTTTATAAGCTCTTTTCGTACCACAGTTAACAAGTTGTTTGGTTTTTTCTTTTCCCCTTTCCCTTGTGAAGAAATACCTCTGCAATCCCTAAGATTCTTGCTTTGGGACTTAATTTTGTCTTCAATACTGAACAACTCCTAGAGCTATTAAAAAATAAGTGCTCAACCCACTTAATAATTACTTTTACTGTGTTTTGAACACACAAAACATTAGGGCACCATGCAGCCTTGTCACTGTATGCATCTGCAATGTACACTTATGGGTATTTTCAGGCAGCAGAAGTACTTTTAGCATTTTCATGTGGAAAAAGTCAACACCAGGGAAAGGCACAGCTCATCAGCACCAGCTCTGATGAATGGGTTTGTTCTGCCTTCCCTCAGAGCCAAGGTTTAAGCACTGGGCTCATCCCAGGCCACATCCCAACACAGAGGTCCAAACCCTTGGAAGAGAGAGATCCTTTTACCTGGATTTACTTCCCAAAGTGTGTTACTCTGTGCCTCTGTTGGGTGGAACGACACAGACTGACGACGTGAGCAGCTCTGATTGCAAATAAAAAAATCTTTATTGCATCTTAGAAGCAAGTCTTAAAAAAATGAAAGAAAGAAAGAAAGGAAAAAAAAAAGAGAGAAAGAAAAGAAAAATTTTCCATGCACCTACATCCTTGGGACTGTCACCAGAAAATGATGAACATTGTAAGACACAGACTCTATGCTAGTTGCAGTTCATACTCCATACATGTGTAAACAATGGTTATTTCTTCTACTGGAATAGCAATTGCACTGTAAGATCCCATCAAACGTGGCAACAACCACCAAAGCCTTGGGTTTTCTCCACTCCTTCACTTGCCTCCATTTCCCAGAGTGCAGGTGAGGTGGAACTGAGGGCAATGGGATGAAATGGGACTGGAGGATACGATAGAAAAATATATTGTTCGCTGGTTTTTATTTTTTGTTTCTGCTGAGCAGGATATTTACAGGTACACAGGTCCCAAGAGATCATCTGCTTCAATGACAATGTCCAGTCACTGTCTAAGTCTCAGTGTAAAGGGTTCCCTATCTGGCTTTAAGGCACTTTATTTCGTGTATTTTCTCTTACCTTGCTAGTTGTTAACTCATAGGGATCACACTTTCCTTGTATTCAGTCTCCTCATCCCCAGTTCCTCTTAGAATACCAAAAAAATTACTAAACTCACTGAAGTCATTCCAAAAATGTTAAAGAAATTTGGGGGGAAAAAACAAAGATTAATGAAAAAATATTTTAGAAAGTAATCTTTGGAGATCATTTACTATAAGTATGATGTACACTACCTTATCAGTGAGAAGATGCAATACATTCCTAATATATATATATATATTTACACACGCATATATATATATATAAAATATTAAAATGACTAACGGATATTCAAGGAAAGGTCAAGAACCTAAAACAGTGGATATTAAATAAATTAACGGTCTAGCAGATACAGAAAAAAAAAAAAATCCCAAAACAAAACTAGCAATCAAACGTAGTAATTGTTCCCATTAACATCACAGAAGGAAATGGATGCGGTCGGGCGCGGGACGCTCGGCGCTGAGGAGTTTTCCAAGTTCTCCTCAGGGATCGGGGATTGTTCCTTGTGTGCTGTGGTTTGGCTGCTGGAGATTCCCATTCCCAGCCCCTTCCCCTCCCTGGTGGCGGGGCTCAGCCTCGGACAGAGCCCATTGCCCAGCACGGATTCCCCGCGCGCTCCCCGGCTACGGAGCGACACCAACACAACTTCCACAAGGACTGCTCGGATCACGGCTTGTGCTTACGTCCTTCACTCGCCTACAAGTGGAGGTTACTTTTAAACTGAAATCATCAGCTATTAGGGAAAAACAAAACCCCTCCTGCAATTACCACCCTTTCGTCGCCACAGCGACTCGGATTTTCTAACGCAATTTGAGAATTAATGGCTAATCCTGAACCAAAGGAGCAGAATCTTTGCACGGTAGCAGTCACACCAAAAACATTTAGACACAGCGTTTTGTCACTTGGCTTTGCACGCTCAGGTCCACATTTACAGAATCCCAGCCATGAAAACGGCAACGGAAACGGTAGGAAACAATCTTTTGTTCATAAGGAAATTCTAATTCAAGTCAGATTTCCGCTGATCAGATAACTCTTAAACAATTTTTTTTTTTTTTTTTGTTTGAAGGCAAATATTGATCACA